ATGAATTTAAGTAGCCTACAGATATTAAGTTTTTAAGAATCTGGCCATGTTCCTGGGAAAGAAGCCCATTACCTAGAAGCCAGCCAAGTATCCTTGAATAATTACTATAGCAAGGTGGCCCAGTGTCAGACCTTGTGTGTTAACCCTTTCCTCCACTGCTTTCTATACCTCTGCCACTACATGCTGCTGCTCTGGCATATTTTCATTTGCAGACAGCAGGCAACAGGAAAACCAACTTCATGCAAGCTTTTGGGAACAGAAAATGAGAAAAGAAGAGGAGTAACTCAGAACTTCCAGCCAACCTAAGTATTGAAGGGGTTTTACCCTACTAATCAAGAAGTAGTTCAACTCCCCATCCCTGCAAGGAGTTGCTAGCTTCCAGGTCACTTTTCTATTTCTAACATCCACATACCCTTACACTCTAATTAATGATGCACTGATGCCAGTGCTCCTCTATCCCCATACCAGAGCACTTAAGAAATAAGAGGTGAGGAGATCAAAAGATGTGTAACCTTTCCACTGAATTCATCTGTTTGTACTTCCACCCAGGTATTATTCACATTTAAGCTGTGGAGCAGAAGCATCAGGATAGTCTGAAGAACAGAACCCCCAGCTAAGAATTGTGGCACAGCTCCTTTCTGCTCTTCACTGACATTGAAACTTCTTTCTTCAAGATTATCTTATTAAACCTTTGAGCCTAAGCACTATATAGAAAACCAAGAAGTGAAATCCAAATCCAAGGGAGGACTGGATGGTAGGGAACCAATGGCCAGCTGCATGTCAGCTCTCTCAGCATCACGGCACCGCTGCTCAAGGCCAAGCAGGCAAGGGACACAGGCTTGTCATTAGTAATAAGATTCTGCAATGCAGCCATGTGCTACCAGCTCTCAGTCATTTTATTATCCTCAATGCTGTAAGGAAGATCTAGACACTTATTAAGGAATTTCCAGTCACCCTGCATTTAAGATGATGACTTGTAAGCAGCACAAGCTCAGATAAAAACACTAGACTTAAATTTTTCTTCCTTCTACAAACATTCTCAGTTTACTCTTCTTCCCTTTCTCACTGTTTCGAGGAGTCAAATGGAGAGATAGGGAAGGTCAAAGTAAAACAGCAGTCACAGCATCAATAAAATACTTCCTCCCCCAACTCTGTATCAAATCACTCTACCTTTCTTTCACATCCGTCTCGTATATTTAAACCAGAAGACCTTGCCACTGACTGTTTTTTAACCAAGATTTTACCACCCACTACTGGGTTTCAGCTTTTGTTAAATATTACCTTTAACGTTATTCTAAATGGAGTTAGAACAAAGAATCTTGATAGCCAAAATCTCGTGCTTTCCTACAGTCAGGACTGAGCACAGTACTTTGTACAGTTTCTCAGAATACAAAACGCACCACTACTCCAGAGAAGTTGTCAGATAAGACCCTCTAGTGTCAGAAAAGGCTATAAAAGTACACATTTTATTGCATGACTGAAGTCATAGTGTTGAGGGCAGAAAAGCTTCTTTCTTCTCACCTGCCCCCAGTTCTGCATCCAGCTAAAGGAGACCCCTTTGCTAGAAAAGGTACTTCACTTTGATTCTCTACCACTGGTATCCCCACCATTAGTTTACTCTGTGGTACAAGCTCAAGTTGCTCAGTGCCTTATCCTGCCAAATACCAAATACCTACCCAGATGGGTCTCTCTGGACTCCCGTTTCAGTCTGATCATCTACATGATGAAGAGATTTTCCTAACTAGAATTTTCTATCATGCGAATTATGCCTGTTGCTCCTTTAAGGGCCTGAAGTAGCTAGCAAGGGAAACAAACCCACCAAAAAAAGAAACAAAAAAACAACGCAGAAGCCAATACGTAAGACAACCCTACAGACTCAGACCTAGTTGGGTATTAAACAGATCCTTAGCGCTGTTCTGTGTAAATCTGTAACCTCAAAAACTTTTAGCAACTGAAAAGGAACCGCACAGGCAGTACACTTGGTTTATTATCAGCTACACTGTCCTTTCCTTCACCTCTGCAGCCCACAACCTCCGCTTCGAGCTTGCCCTTCTCCCTACAGCAGTAGCCTCTTGCTGCCATCTCCAACGCTGTAACCTCCATCCCTCCCCACCAGTCTCTCGTCTCCTTCTGTCCCCAGTCCACCAAACCACAGTCAGCTTTCTCTGTCCATCACCCCTTCCTTCACCCCCTCCATCTTCCCCATCGCCTCCCCTTGCTCTCCACACAGATTATACTCTGTTTTCCCAGCCTCGCGATGTATCACAGCCGACCCTACAATCGCTCGCCACGACCCTGCTCCGGTTTTCCCACGGCACTACATTTGTTTGACAAAACAGACACGCGTGTTATTTCCTGTGGGTGACGGGGGGAGCGTTACCTCGAGGGCAATGCCCTCGCAGCAGCAGCATCTCCGCTTCTTCCCTCACTCCGTTCGCCTTAAACCCAAACTCGCCTCCCTCCCACTCCCGATCCCCCCCGGCGGGGGCGCGCGCGGCGGGCGCGGGACCCGCGCGGGGACCCACGCGCGGAGAGGTCCCCGCGCTCCGGCGGCCGCTCCTTCAGCCGCAGCTGCTGGCGCGAGCACCCAAAAAAGTTACGCGCTTAAAACTTCCCACTTCTCCTCGAGGCGCGCCCGGACTCGCGGCCGCGTCCCGCAGCCCTCCCGCGTCCCCGCTTCACGGGGCGGAGCGCAGCCCCTGCCCCAGCGCCCACGGGGGGCGCGGGATGCCCTGCGGGATCAGGGCCGGGCAGCGGCGGGGCAGTGGCCGCATCCCCCGGGCAGGGGCAGCCCCCGCCGCTCAGCGCGGCGCTCACTCACCGGCCTCACCGGGAGGGACCTTCCCGCGGCCGCCAGCAGCAGGAGAGCGAAGCCGAGGGGCGGGAAGGGCATGTCCGGGACGGCCCCCCATGCGCGGGGACCCGGCGAGGCTCCGCGGCAGTCACGGCGGCGAAAGGCAGCGCGGCCGGGGGCTCCGGCGGCCGCTTTTGTATGGGCGGTGGAGGCGGGGAGGGGCCGGCCCAGGTACAGCCCGGCCCGGCCCGGCGCCGCCCGGCGGGGATGGGGAGCTGTCGCTGTCGCGGGGGGGGGGTCGCTCCGCGGGGCGCAGCCGGGTGTCGGCATCGCAAAGGGTTGTTTCGGCGAAGGGAAGGGAAGGGAAAGAAAACAGCCGAGGAAGCGCCTCTGTGACGCCGTTCCCTCCCCTCCCCCCTTCGCAACTTCTTATTTTCTTTTATTTGACTCTGAATCTTTTCACGCTTGTGCATCTCGGCGACCTTCATGCTGTTCGTGACGTCCGAATTTTATTAGGTTTTAATAACAGTAAATGCAATTACCGATTTATAACGTGAATTTGCGGAGCTGCATGTCAGATCAGAACTTGGTTTCTAAGTTGAGGACGGGGCACAGGTCAGTCCTGACAGTAGTATGATGTGTAAATTTGGAGGATTTAGAATACTTATTTGCCAAGCTCTGCATCTGCTTTTTCCTAGATTCATATTATTGTTCCTATTTATTCACTTTGCGCTGACTTGTAAAACTAAACCTCCACTAAATCACCCATGTTTTATGAAATTATACACCAGAATCCGGACAAAGAAAGCATACAGAGCCATCTGAGTTAGAAATAAAGCTCAAAATTGAACCAGGAAGTGGGGAAAATATTTCGCATTGGTCTGTTAGATGCTGCTGGAATATAAAAAAGTTAATAGCTTAAATATTAATGATATGTATTAATTTCAAATACAACCCAGCATCAGGCTGGAAGTGTAACTAGTCAGAGCATAGATGCTGTGAGATCATGAAATCATGACATTGCTCAGACTATCAATTGCCAGGGCAATTACATCTCAATAGCTAACTCCAGAAGAAAGAATTTGCCATAGTGGTTTTGTTGACTGAAGGCTGAAAAGATTTTTCTTTCAACTTTTCTAAAGTGAGAGAAAAAAAAAGATTGA